AGTGCCCATGAACTGACATACCAAGTAGTACCAAGAAACTCTCCAGCCTGTTACAGCCCTCTGGATATTATCCTCTACTGTCTTTTCTGGTGAGCAGTGATGAAGTCCCAGCAAGAAGTCTGAGGTCAATGGAGAGTGACCTCACAGCCAGGTTGAAGGATCTGGAGCGAAAATGGTGTTCTCCTCTATCCTGCCAGTTTCAGGGAATAATGGGGTAGAAGCAGGAAAATCACACAGATGCCTACAGCCTCACCTGGCCCTGAGCCTGCTGTTACCTGCAGAATTTTGATCACAGGTCAGCTTACATGACACCAAGGTTTCTGGCAACAGATGTTAAAAAAGGATCTTTGCTCAGGAGTTAGCAGGTAACCCAGATTAGATGAGGGGAGGGGACAAAACTGGGATTAGCCGGGATAAGCACGTCCATTTCTGCTGGTTTTATTTTCCAAGCACTCTGCCTATCCTTACTAGGGCCCAGAGTCATCCTTTCTCATGGACCCTGCTGGAGGTGTGCAAACCCAACAATGTCTCCAAAACTTGCCTAGCACAAAGGGCTTCAGCCAAACCTGCCACAGGGCAAACTGCTCCTCAGACCACGTTGCTCAGGGCCCCATCCAACCTAGTCCTGAACACTTCCAAGGATGGGAGCATGGACTTTACAACAAGGCGGACTCAAGCTTACAAAGCTACAGAATCTGCAAGGTGTGAAGAAAGGTAGAGCTTTGTTCAGATTTACCTAAAGCCCCATTTTCATGCCTTATGCCTTTCTAGGCTCTGGTGAGTAGAAACAAAAAATTTGGCCTCAACTTAAGAATGATTAAATGTATTTTTCTAAGACACAGAAAGATTTGTTAAACCAAGAAACCTATTGTGTGTACACATCTCTAAATCAGCCTTTCATATTGTCCCACACTTTTTAAACAGGAAAGTAAAAACATTTTTAGGGAGCATCAAATGATGAGTAGCACCAACTGCATACAGATAATGGTTCCCAAGTCAGAATAAAGATGAGATTCTTTACCTTTGGATCCTTCCTTTACTTGCTTTTACCCAAAATCCTTACTTTGATGTAGAGGTTGTAGTGAGGTGAGTGTCAGTCTCTTCTCCCAAGAAACAAGTGACAGGATGGAAGGAAACCACCTCAAGTTGCACCAAGGGAAATTTAGATCATATATTAGGAAAAATTTCTTCACTGAGATTTTCTTTACTGACTGTCAAGAATTGGAACAGGCTGCTCAGGTAAGTGATGTGCAACACCATCTCTGGAGGTATTTATAAGAGCTGTAGGTGTGGTGTTTAGGGACATGGTTTCATGCTGGACATGGCAGTGGTGGGTTAATGGTTGGACTTGATGATCTTAGAGGTCTTTCCCAGCCTAAATAATTCTATGATCTCCTGTGTAGATAGACATCTTCTTGAATGTTGGCCATCTCAATTTCTGAGAGAAATAGGCACTTTTATTTTGCCTTTTTTATTGGCCTTGTAAATGAAGAGATGAAAGATATTTTTAAATAGTGATAATTTTTACAGCACTAAGTTGCTCTCTCCTACTGTTTTCTAACCCTTGAGCTGTCTCAGACTGATCAACTGTATTGTTTCCTAACTCCTCTGACCTGAATCTCTAGGGAAATTTCCATCATATTTCAAAGGTCAAAGACACACCCTTGCTTTTTCTTCCCTTTTAAAAAATTAAAGAAGGTTGTGCAAAGCATTTTGACCCTCATTTCTGGTGACATGAGAAAAATGGCTGTCACTCCACCTGATACTCCTTAGCAGGGATACATCTACATACTTTTGTTTGTTGGAGCAGCTGCCCACTCATGGCATCTAAAACTGAAAGGTGGCTAATGTACTTAGAAGAAGAGTGGGATCTAAAAGGATAACCATTTCACATCCCAGTGAACTGGATTTTGGGTTAAAAGACCAGTGCCTGTGCCAAGTCTGTGGCCCTGCCTCCTTTCTGCCAATTAGAAGGCAAGAGAGAACATGAGTTCTCCCATAATGTAATAAATCAAATTTCTTGAGTTAAAAAGTGCACAAAGTCTTTTTGGCATCAAAGCATCCATTTCTGTAGAGAAGTCAAAACCATGCTGTTAGGTTTGGCTGGAGAACCAAAGTTTCCTTTCTGATCCATGTCCTACAAATGCAAGCAGCTGTTGCCAGACAAACTCAAAAACTCAAGCGTTGCTTATTCTTCACCACCAAGGCTCTAGTCAGGCTTTGTTTTTTCTCAGTGTTTCTTTCTGTCACCAGATTTAATTTTAATACTAAAAACATTCAACACTGTCTTCTCACAAGAATTTCTGAGAGCAGGAAATGTGCAGCGTGTGAATCTTTAACATAGAGTGATCGCTCCACATAAAGCCAAGGAGAATGCCAGTGGTTCCATCACTCTCCAGCTCCACCCTGTCTAGTGTAGACAATTTTTAGGATACAAGGGAATGGTATCTCAGAGGCGACCTGGGAACTTGTTCTATGATGCAGCCTTGTTTATACATGTTCCTGGTTTCTCTTCACTTACGGGCTCGCTGTCTCCAGTCAGTAGCACTGTTTTGTGTGGGATTACACCACAAGAAAAAGAAAAAAGAAAGGAAAAAAAGGGTGGGGGGGGGAGAGGAAAATTTGTACCTTTTCAGGGGATAGAAAACGTGTGGGAGTAGTTGCTACAAAAGTCAGCAAAAGCCTGATAAATGCTGAGTGTGGCATGATTCTTATTTAGAGGATTTACATGTGTAGGGGTAAAGATGTGATGCAGTGTGTTCATGACATGTTCTGATATGACTGACCTTGAATTGTTTGGTGTTGGTGAGCCCTGAATGGAGTCAACAGGGTTAATCAGATTTCTCTTCTTCTGTAGCTGAAAGAAAGGAAACTAGATTCATATTTATGGTACTACTATCCCCACACTTTCTACATCATATAAGTCAAAGTCTTGGGTCACTCTTACAATGGTGAGCAATAAAAAATAATATCAAGCTATAAATTAGGAAATATCAGATGAAGCCGGTTTAATAGACTGTGAACAAAGTTCACTTTTTCAAATCCAGAGATGTATCTGAATCAAAGACATCTCACTGTGGAATTCTTCAGCATCCGTTTGCACGCCCCAGCAATACTTCTCCAAGTGGTCTGAGAAGCTCTGTGATTGACAATTTTATTAAAAACTGTGAAAGACTGTGTCATGGACTAATCCAGTGATAACTTCTGCCTGCTAATCTCAAGAGTTTAGTCAAATTTATTTAAACCTGCCCCTTTGTTCATAAGCTGAGCACTAAGGCTCAGCTACTTCTGTGTGAAACCAAGTACACAGCATGGACTGGGGCTGACTTGAGAATTCATAAGTGCAGAAGCACATCTGTAAGACTGTATCAAAAAAGTAGTCTGTTCCCACATCCTTAAGAAATGAGGATTTTATTTAAACATCTGCATGGAGTAGCAGAGAAAGGAGAGGAAATCTCTTTTTTATGGCTCATTTCTTAGGGTTATACCTATACCTATACATTTTGTTATAGGTTATACCTATACCTATACATTTTGTTCATACAGCCTTTGAGAGCCCTTCTGTACTGTGCAGAAATTCCTTATTTCTACAGCTATTGATGTTTACAAGGTTATAAACAATTTCCTGTCTGGATTGTCCCACAATTTATATGCTGCCTTATCAATGCAAAAGCCACATTAGAAGTAATCAGACGGTTGCTTTGGACAAAGTGATAAGCTGTTGCACAATCTTACGTGTTCGGTCTCACAGCCTGAGTTCCTGGAAACTGAGTTTCTGGAAAGATCTTTCTGCAACGGAAGTGCCCTAGTATATATGCATTTCCCCTAAAGGTAGAAGTGAATCCCATCATTTTACCATTTTGAAAGAAACGTGAAGAGCGAAATACAGAAGAAAGGTAAGCAGAGAAAGAAGTTGAAAAAGAAGCACAGAGTAGAGAGATCAGTCAGTTGAAGGAGAGCAAGGAGAGTGCAGTGGGAGAAGGCAGGCAGGTCCTCTAAGGCTAAAGCTTTGCCCAAATGGAGCCTGTAGGCTTTAGTCATGTTTGTCAGCCATCATTTTGTGTAACAAGAGGCAATTCTCTTGGGACAATGTGCTGAAGTGGCTGGCTGGGACGCAGCACCCGGGTGGCCTTCGCCCAGCTCCATTAGCAGTGTTTCTTGGCATGGCCCCTGTTGTGCTGGGGAGGTAAAATGTGGCACTCCCTCTGAGTCACCTCTCCTTGTATTCACACCATGCAACATCACCTTGCATCAGAGCTGCTTCTCCCTCTGCCACGTCACAGCACTGGCGTGAGGTGCACGGGACAGCAGCATGGTGAAGCACAGAATGCACCAAAGAAATGCCTCCACTTGTAGTGATACCTGCCTGCATTTCTTGCTCTTACTGTTTATGCAGGCATCCTCAAGAGACTGCTAATTAAAATAGAGTTCTGGGGCACAAAAATAAAAATTATTCCTATTTTATATTTTTTGAAAGTGTCATATTATGTTAGATGTATGGTTTTCTGTCAGTACACAGTTTGTGGTAATTGGGAGCGGGGCTGTGGCAGAATCTCATCCCCAATGGGCACAGCTGTGAGCAGCAGGTGAGCAGCACTGACAGCAATTGACCTGGAGTGCCCAGGTGCACTGACCAACCACCAAAGGGAACAGAGGGCACACAGGTGCAGTGCATAAACATGAGGGGTATAAAAGTTTGGGCTAAAGAACAATAAGGGCAGACACTTCTAACCTTCTGAAGTGAGGTGGTGTTACTCTATATGGATAGACACCTGAAGTCTTCTGATGTGGTGTTACTCTATATGGGTGAATGCTTAAAGCCTTCTGCAATTCTATGGTGATGCTTTGTGTATTGTGGCCCTCTCAACTACAGCACGTGCTGTGACAGTTTTTATTCACAATTCATTCTCACTACCTCTAGTGTTACTGATCTGTTGCTCCTAATTGTGCCAAGCATCCTATCCATGAATCCTATTCAAATCTCTTGATGATCATTTCAGGTCTAAAAGCAGCTGCATCTGGGCTAGAGCCCAGCAGACTTTTGCAGGTCTAAGAGGCAGAGATGTCACCTGGCCTCAGGTGAGTGCTGTTCATTTTCTAACACCCACAGTGGTTTGCTGTGTGACTTTAATCCAGTTACTTTTCTGCATCCTGGTCTTTGCCGGATGCAAACAATGAGCACACCACTTCTGGGCTTTGAGAGCTCTAAACAAAATGTGATAGCCCTTCTTACATGCTAGGGTCACAAAAGAAGTGAGATGCTCCTTAGTTAAGTGCTTAAACAGCAGGTTTTCTTAGGTGGTCCATAAACCACATTTGCATAAATCAACAGAGAGGATTGAGATTAGAAGGAAAAAAACTAATACATGATAAAGGTAAACTTTCTGTACTTAATAGTGTTTCTCCCCCTGTCTCTGGGTATGCTATGCTATATGATTGCTGTCATCAAAAGGGGTGTGCATAAGAACTTGAAAAACCAAACCAGCCTGTCTCTAATTTGTTCCATATATCACAATCCTGCAGGTGGCTTTATTCCTAAAGTGCTGGGCTGTGCTGATGTTGAAGCCTCTTGCTCCCAAGACCTACTTCTGGACTAAACTGCTGCATCAGGATTAATCACCTGCCTAAAAAGTAAGCTCATTTTTTTACTGAAGTCATTGTTTATAAAAGAGCTGTAGGCTGCCAAAATGGTTTTGCTGTGATGATTTTATCAGGCACTCAACTGATGTACTCCCTGCCGTTCTCATTTCTGCATCACTAGTTTTCTCAATGGTAAACAAATGACTTTGCTTCAATGAATTAGTTGTGGACACAAACATGAGCCTCAACACCTTTTAATAAATTAACAATCTCAGCCTGTATCACTAAATCAGAAGAAATTGCTTGTAATGTGAAAACTAATTTATAGATTTTGTGAACACAGTACCAGGTGGACTAAAACTGAGAGCTGTAAAGCTCTCCTGTTGTTTGGGGGAAAAAAAGTGCCTGACTCTTCCACTTTCTGTGTCTCCTAAGTGTAGGTAGGTAGATATATGCATACATAAACAGCACTGGTTATTGATGAGATACTATTCAATGTGTCCCAAACTAATATCCTGTTTGCATAAAATGCATGAAAATATATTCTTTTTTCTAATAATACTAATGATTATCATTAATTTCTGGAGCATCCAGAGCTCTATATGGGATGTTCCAGAAATTAATGGTAATTAATAATATCTTTACATATGGGTGAAAGAGGATTTTTCCTTCCCCAATAGCTTTTGCTGCCTGTAAGGCATGTGGTCAAACCTGCTGATAGGATTTGAAGCTGGCAGCTGTGCCCCACACCTGTGAGCCCAAATCTAGTCCTCAGCAGGGACTGAGGTTGCCATTCCACTTCACAGAGTTTCCCAGCTTAGAGAAATAAGCTGTCCTCACGATAACTACAAAATCAAGCACATGCCTGGTTCTAAGGGTTTTTTTTTAAGTCCAGTGGTTTGGAGGTTTTTTCCACACCCTTTGCTTCTAACAGTTCATGCATCTTCCCAGCTACTTTTTCGGCTTAAGGATATCTACTTTCCATTGTTCATGGATTCTGGATTTCATTCCAGACATTTATTTGTGGGAAGTCCTACACATTGGGAGGCAGGTATAAAGAGTGAATGAGATACTTTCAGCAGGTTTTCTTTGCAATTATTTCTGAATTGTGTCTCTCCAGTGATCTGTGGTGATATTCTGTTCTCTCCAAGATGGCAATTAGTTTTCAGCTGCTTATTTCTGCCCACTGAGTTGGCAGCACCACACAACACACCACTCCAGCTGTTGAGTACAAGTGTGAGATTTAGTTCTTAAAATTCTCTGCAGGTTGGTAATGAAAGCAGTGAGCAGGTAAATACACTCTTAGCTGGCAAGAACAAGCATTCTGACAGGCACCAGAGAAAGGCATCTGTAATAATGCAGGAGTTCCCCAATACAGAATTGCCAGTGTTAAGAGAGCAATGCTCTGTGCATTGGAAACCCTATGCTTCACCAGGCCTTGCACTTTCTGTGGGGAATCCCAACTCTGTCTGAATAAGTTAATTCCAAATGTTCTGGTGTCAGATCTATATTCAGAAGCTAAAGTAAGCACTGCTTGCTAGAAATCTTCTCCCTTCCAAACAGTTGGTTCAAATTCCTAAATGGTCTTGATGCTCTTCTCTGCACTCAGGCTGAATCATTCTGAAAAGGGAGGTAGTACAACCCACTCATGTTAATGAGCCAAACTTTTGGTCAGAACTGGAAAAAAATAATGGGTGCATGCAACATTTTTCTCTTCCAAAGCTGCTTTTGTTCATTTACATGACAACACTGCTGATCTGCTGGAAAAGACCCTGCCTGCCAAGACACAGTTTGAGTAATAACAGTAATTTCCACCTGGCTTCTGGTGATGCTAATCCAGGACCACTAATCATGTAGTGTTTTGTTTCTATATCACAAAGTTTGGCATATGAGGTAGAATGTAAATATCCTTGCAAATGGTTGTATTTAAAGCCCTGCAGGAACTGAGTTTAAAATCATATTGTTTTAATATTAGTTTTCATTCCATCCTAGAATACAATTCTAAATTTCATTTGAAATTACAGAAATCACAGAAAATATTCTGTTCTAAAGTTTAAACATGCATTTTAAATACCTCACGTGATTCACTTGAAGTTAATTTTGGATCACTCTGATTAATTGCTTTGATTTTTATTTAAGATTTGCCTGTTATTTACTCTTCTTCCACTTTTTTAAACAAACGTACAAAAAAACCCCAAATACAAACCCCACAACACTGAAATTGAAATAATCCCTAGGGAACTTGTGATATCAGCAATTGCCAAAGGCGAAGAAGCCCAGCTGAGGCATTTTGGCAGTTTGTAGCTTTACTGCAGACTGTTGCTTGTTATCAGTGTAAGGTCTGGGATGCAGCAGCTGCACAGCTCTGACTTCATCCAGGTGAACAGCAGTGCAACATCCACACCGCAGAGAATATGCTCAGTTGAATTCCCTGTGTGGCTGAGTGTGAGCTCCCTGCACTCTTAAGGGATGCAGCTTTACTCAACAATCAGGTCAGATGCCTCTTGCTAAGCAAAGGTGAGCTGAGGAAATAATGAGCCTTCTCTGACCAAGGAATGCTTCTTCCTCCACATGTTTTCTGTTGCTCAGCTCCTGATGCTTTTAGGCTTTCCAGGAGTCCTTTATTTCTCTCCAGAAACAAATTCAACCTGACCTGGGAATTCCTTTGTCATTTCTTCCACAGTAGCCTAGAAGTACATGTTGAGCACACACAGATAAAGCCACTTGAGCAGTGCCACCAGCATTGCACAGGCAGCCCTTGAAGAGAAAAGTACTTTGCTGTGAAGCCAGAGAAGAATGTAGGTCAGCATAATAACATTTGACCTACACTTTCCTCTGGTGACAGTAATAGGCTTAAGGACTGTGATCCTGATGCCTTTTGAAAACCTGTTTTGTGCTTGGTAGAAACAGAGTAGAAGTTTAATTAAAAGAGATGAAACTGTGGCAGCAAGACTGCCTAGAAATGAACAGATGAGGACCACTGATTTACAGGCTATTGCTGAGCTCAGCTTCTCTTCTAGAAAGCACACTGCTATTTTAATGTATGAGCCCAAAGCCAGTTTCTAATGTATTTTCTGCAAAAATGTGAAATAGTTCTGGCACATCTCATCAGAGACAGGACCCTGGCTTTAGAAGGAATGCCACCTGGGCCACTGCAGCCACCCCCTGATGTTCCTATGGGATGAAACACAGGGTAAGTTTGCCTTTCCATTCCCATGTTGGTCATTTTAATGCTTTTATTTTCTGACAATCAGAATATATCAGCATTTCTATTTGGGAGCATTTTTTCTAATACAAAGTAGAGTGCATTAACATTTGTGACACCAAAAATATTGTGTAGTTTTTAATTTCTTTGCTTTGTTTTCCAGCACTTGTTAAAAAGAGGAAAATTACCTTAGAAGGCTGGAACAGGAAAGGTCTTAATTCTTTTTTTTTTTCCTCCATCTTCAGCTATTCACCATCATCCTGCCATCCCCACACACATCAAGCTGTACTTTTAAGAACAATTACATCACAAGGGGGTGTACTGGATCTTTTGTTCTTGTATGGTGGTATGAAATTCTACCTGCCCTTTTTTTTTCTCTCAAAAAAAAATGTCCCTAAAGTCTTTCACAGACTCTTTGGCTGATCTTTCCCTCCTCAGTGGCATAATACCTTGATCAAGTTCATCATTTAAAAGACAACAAAGCTCCCTGAATTCTTCACTCTGATATGAGATATAAAAGGTATGAGCACATGTGAAGCTGAGGTCTCAGTGTCAGCACCTTTAAAATGCTCATCAAACACAACAGGGGCTGTGAAATATTTGAAAATAATGATCTGAGTCTTTCCAAAACCAAAGCAGACTGGACCAAATGAGTGCTGTTGCAGGAATGAAACATGTTGTCTCATTTATATGACAGTACAAATATTGCCAGAGAAGATATCTATCAAAATCAGATCAAAGTTTCAAGCCCAATGGACAAAGTATTTCAAGATAATTCACTGTACCTGTGGATTGGCAGAATAAATACTTCTGTTTTTCTTTCATATTGCCTTTAGATAGAAGAACAAGGAGCAATCCAGCACTCTTGTAGGTAGAAAAGCAATGTCATGAACTTTTCCCTTGGAAACACAGGTAAGGGAAAGGGTCTGGACTGGCCTGTGGCAGGAGCTCACAGTAGCCCCTGAAACACAGGGCTGGATTCATGCCCAACCCCACAGGGATGCTCATCTCCTCCAAATCTGTCTAGTTGAGGATGTTGTGATGTTCTAGTTTTCCTAAGGGAGGCTGGAGGCTCTTGGCAGAGGATTGGAAAAAAAAGAAAAAAGTGTGCCTGACACAGAAAGGGATTGATTCAGCCTTCTGCTTTTCTTGAGCAACCTCTAAAGTTCCTCTAGAGCTAAAGCTTAATTTTAAACCTTTTTGTTGTTTTGGTTTTTTTTTTTCCCCCTGGCAGAAGACCTGTGAGCCTGCACTCCCAGCACTCCCATTCTCCCCCACAGAAGCCTTCAGACCCTGACCTAGCCAGGTGTGTTCAGTCTGCAGGGCTTACAAAGCTGATCCAATGTCAAGCTCATCTGATTTTCCTTTTAAATAATGAGGTGAATGAAATCTGAGATTCAAATATCCTCAAGGTGTGGGTCCCAAAAGTCAGACCCAGACCTTCTGCCCACCTCTTGGCTTTACTACAATGTCACAGTAGCATCTCAGGGTTTAAAACACAGCATGCATTATATTACATTAATTCTGTATGTGCATACATATGAAGATATTTATAGCATGGGAATGATTCATGAAAGCAACCACAAATTCCTCTGTAAACATTTAGGAGTTGTAATTAAAGTAATTAGAAGTATTAATTACTTTACAGAAGCCATGTAGGATGCAAGATCCATATTACAGTTATTCTGTCACAATTTCAAGCCCTTTGAATTAATTTTACTCTGGAAACTCCTCCAGCCTATTTGCATCATTTTGCACTCTGAACTTGCTGTCTAGACAGACACTCTTCACTTGACTTGCAGTGCTATCATAAGCCATTTTAAATTACAATTTCATATAAGCAATGCGTAAAATCAAATTTTCTGGATTCAATTGAAACTTAGTAGTGAATAATGGATGACTGGACTAAGAAACTGTGAAATACAGGTCAAGTGTAGGATGCTGAGAGATGTAAAAATAACTACATTTTCCAATTTCTTTAAATTAATTTCATTCACATCCTTGATGTGATCCTTCACAGGCCTTTCTTTTGCTATTTACTGTTCTGCAACTGCCCCACTCAAGTGGTAGAATAAATATTACAGATAATATATTCAAAATTAATTTAGAATCCTTAAAGATCCTAAGGCAATAATTCCTCAAGTCTTGGATTCCTGTAACTGCTTAAGAATCAAAACTGAGAGAAATTACTAGTAACCCTTAAAAAGTTAAAAATCCAATAACAAAGCCTGTGTTTTGAGTCTAGGAAGAAAAAAAATAGTGCTTGTGTCACAAATTGTTTGTTAGCTTCAGTAAATATATCACACCAGGTCTAGATTTTATACCAGTAATAGTTATAAATGTTTTTTCGGGGGGGAAACATTTATTGCAAATATATACATATTCCTACCCAATTTCCTGGTAACTGCATTGCTGAGGAGAGAAGTTGTTAAAAATTTGGAATTTGATTTGCTATAATTGTCTGGCAGGGTTACTTGGAAGCTCTTTGTCCAGTGATGTGTGTTGAGAGTAATACATTTTTCATTTCCTAATCTAACAAATTCCCTATGATGGCATTAACATTATTTTAGATTAACTGAGTGAAAGAACTTGCTGGAATTGTATGAAAAAGTGTATAAATTAATATGAGTTCTCTATCTTCCATAAAGTGTTTCTAGGTGACTTTAAGTGAGTACTTTCCCATCTAAGAATCAAGCTATTTAAGTCTAGGAACACATTACTGCTTTTATTACAGAGTTCAAAATTCTCACTAATTCTCTTCTTTGACCTTTAAAAAAATTTTTTATTGCAGTTTTAAGACAGTTTTTATTTCCAGATGAAACAATTTCTCTTGAAATATCTCTCACACAATGAAGTACAAAAGGCCATACAATAGAAAGCAGAAAAAGGCCAAACCCAGGGCTTGATGTGCTCTGCCCAATAAAGAAGGAAGACTGCAGTCAGGAGAAAGCAAAGGTATTAGTTTTGCTTGAAATAACCAGGTTTTTGCTTGAAAAAATAAATGTTTATGTGAATTTTCCATTGCAGTTTTTCTTTCTTGTCAAATACCTTACAGATTCTAATTCTTTCTGGACATCCACCCTCTCAGAACAGTGGAGTGAGCACAATGTCTGTGAGTGGTTGCAATTTTGCTATCACCAGTACAAACTAGATTTCAAATGCATTTCCTTTTCCCACTTTGATATCAATGACTTGGATTATGCACCATGGCCAGGAACAGCTTGTGGATGCTGCAGGCCTTTGTGGAGAATACTTGTATTTCATCTTACAGAATAGCAGGATGCATGGTTAGCGTTCCAGAAATTGAAGTCAAAACATAAGGCATTGCATTTTTGTGTGAGTTTAACAAAAAATGTGGAATCCGCATTCCTGAGCACTGAAAAAAGGCAAATACAGAGGCCACTTAGATCCTGCATGAGGAGTATGCAGAAAAGGGGCAGGCTGACAGCAATCTCTGCAAGCTGTGGCCTCAATCCCACACATTCCAGGCTCATCTTTGCAAACCAGTCAGGTTTCCAAAGGGACACAAGCTCTTCTCTCTCCTTTGGTTTTTCTACTCAAAGTGGTCAACCTGAATGCTCCAAGGGAGGTTTGAATTCTGACAGGATATAGAAAGAAACAACATGTTATTCCTGTAACTTGAAGTAGTTTGCTTCTTAAAGAGTAAAGGAGAAGTTTTGTTTGATGGTGTTATTGGGCATACTGCTCTGATAATCCACCTCATTAGAAGTGTGCTTAATGATGCACTTGAATGAAAACATTTTTAATTTACTATTTTCAACCTTGTGCCAGAAGATTCATTTTTGCGTAAATGAGCTGAGATTCAAAAAGTAATCAATTGCTAGTTCAGTGTAAGTGAAATAGAAGTGCACTTGCTGCTGCAGATGCCCTTTCTTGCTCTTCAGTCCTGCCAAAGATCAATTAGTGTGCATGCCAGGCTTTGGCAATTCTGCCCAGCTCCATTGTGGTGATACGAACAAAGAGTTTCCACTAAGCAGGGAATTTCAGAAGGTCATTTCCCTCCGCCCCAGCAATGAGAATCTGAGGAGCATTTTAGCTGCTCAAATCCCTCAGTGGCTCAAGCCTTCTCTGAATTACAGGAGTATTTGACCAAACTGGAGTTTTATGACTGCTGGAAAAGGATTAAAGGCTTAGGCATGCAAGTCCTGGATCTCGTGGGAGCTGCCACTGCCAGTGGCTCCCAGGGGTGAGCACCTGCTTAGTCACAATGTGCTGGAATTTATCCATCCCTCACTGGTCCACTACCCACCTTTGAACTGCCCAGTGGGGAGTGGAGGCTGGCAAGGCAGAAAGAGCAGCAGAAGGTGACCTGGGTACACGGTGAACAGGGAGGGGCAGGCTGAAGCTGAAACAGCATCACTGACAGACTAGAAGACCAGAGGCAAAGCAGTAGGAAAATACATGGATAAGCTTTATCAAAGTGCAGCAGGGCTGTGCAGTGACTGAGACTGCTGTCAATAGGCTGGGAAAGGTGAGCAAGACTAGAGACTGTCACAAGAGCAAAACAACCCTGTGTTTAGGTTGGCACTGCTCTGCTGTGGGACTGACAGTCATCACTTTCTTCCATACAGTGTTCATATATCATGTCAGAGAGGCCATTCTGAAAGCAATTATTAAATGTAGGAGATAAGGAAGTTATTAAGGGAATTAAACAATACAGAGCTGTGAAGAAAATCTCATTAAGAAAATTAACTTTTTATAGTCTGTAGAAAGATTGGACATTTGTCAGGAAACAAACTACAACATCTCATGAATATGCCCCTCATGAATAACACAAGGCCTGTGAGAAAAGACAGTGGTCCAGCAATGCCAAACCTTACTGCAGCATAATCAGTGGACCAAAACATGGCTGCACTAGCAGGCTTTATTCTAGTTTTTCCCAGTTTTGAATGCCACACTCACAACATGAGTTAAGTTCCTCGAATGTAGATTTGTTTATGCAGGCATTTACTTATGTTTTGTGAATTTAATTACTCCTTAATAAGTGATACTGGTCTAATAATGTAGTTAAGTTTTAGCCCTGTGAAAATCTGATTTCCAGCATTAGAGATGATTTTTACTTAGGAAAAGAAGGGCGGGAAGACTGCAGGAGCAGTTTTCAAGGCACAAGGAGCCAAATGAGAAAGAACTAACCTAGCTGTAAAGGAAGGGAAAGAAAGTGGTATAGAGGATGGCAAAAATGAAGTGCAAAGGGACCACAGGGCAAAGAAACAAAATACATGAATCATAAGAACAGAAACATACAGACACAATGCAAAGGGTAAGAAAAATACCCCAGAAGTTAAAAAAAACCCCTAAAACACTAGCATAATCCGCCCCAACTCCCAAGTTTTCAGGATAGTTATGAAAGCTATGTCAGGAAAATTATGAAAGACTGGAAGTCCTGACATAGCTTTCATAACTATCCTGAAAACTTGGGATTTGGGGGAAATGATTGAGTGAATGGTTATTTTCTTCATGTTTTTTCTATAGGTCATGAGGTACTACACTAGGAAGCATTAAATTCTGCACCATTTCACTGCTTTTTAAAAGAAATTCTTTAGGTGCATTTCCCAGTTAGGTTCCTATACTTTGGAGTAGCACAGAAAATTTTCTTTAATTTCATAAGAAAAAGCTTTTTTACCCATTGTACCCTAAAGCATTGCATTTCTCAGATATGCTAGGATTCAACATGTCATCTAAAATGAACAATTCAGTCCTCTCTATTTGTCTGGATTGAATTTGTCCAGTTAACCAAGCTAACAAATAAAAAAGACCCTATTCTGAATTATTTATCAAGGAGCTAGCTTCTTTGCCTATTAATCTCATCTATCAGATGTATCAATACATATATATTTGGTATATTTAGTTTTTTGAGCCAAAAAAGAGTTTGCTGCAGTTATTTATCACTCTTCTTTGTGCTGTATTGGGAAGTTGCAATTGCTCACATGATAATTTTTTAACATGGCAGAATGAGTAAGGTTTTTGCTACAAAGAATTTTCAGGGAAAATATTCACTGAAATCCAAGTTCACTTTCTACAACTTCTCATGCATGTAAGTTTGAATTTTCTTCTACTAACCCTTTTGAAGGTGCATTCAAGTAACTTTTGCATTTGGAAGAAGCAGTTCTGGAAAGGGTATAAGAATTTGCTGAAGTAGAAATTTTGAATATAATTTTGAAATGCAAATTATTATTTGTGGCAAAGTTTCTCTAGAACTTTTGCCCACATCTATGCAACCATAGTTTTAATTCTTCAAAGCAGTCTATGACATACAGTTTTACATACAGCAGTAACAATTAATGTGCAGTAAGTGCTCTCAGCTGCTCCCTACCTAAACTTCACAATAAGTAAGCTGGTTAGAATGAAACATGATCTATGAAAATTCAGTTGTGTTTTTTGAAAGCATCAGAACTGGTAGTTTTTATGGACACTGATTTTTATGCACTACAAATTAAAGCAACAGCTGTAAATCCATCAACCATTTTAGGCTGAAACCTAAAAAAACACCACAGGTGTTTTTCAGGGCTCTAATGTTGCTTTTCAGTGGGCTTCTTTGCAGCATGTTTTTCCCCATAACCTCAGCTGACTGTTGAATTCCTTTGTTGTTTACCCCTAAAGGTCTCATTCTTGAAAATCAGAAGACTTATTGCCATGCCTGCAATACAGTTGTGTTTTACAGAAAGCATTTGGTTTAAGAATTGGAATTATCAAATCAGGTGCTGCTGCAATAGCAGTTTAGGTTGGTACAGGCTCTGTGGGCAATGGCCAGCGTGGCCCCCACTGCCTGCACACCTGCACAACGCCCTGGCTTCATCTCTACCAACCAAATGTTACAAAACTCAGAGAAGTAAGGGGAATGGGGGCAAGGGGGGCAGGAGGGAATGACACTATCATGTGTTCATCTCTTACCTTTCGTGTCCCTTTCTGTGTGGATTTGAGAACCAAATGCCATCCTGTGTGCTCCATGGTCCTCTGAGTGCCTTTCCTCGTAACCCAAGGGCCCCATGTACACTTCTGTTCACTTTTCATCCCTCAGATCACTTTTTGTGCAGACCTAGAGCAGCAACAGCTCTCTGTCCTGGAACCTTTTCTTTGTGGGGAGCAGTGACTGCACATTGTCCATTTTGGAGCTATGTTCGGTTTGATTTGGTGCCAGGGCATATTTAGTTTCCTAGGCAGGTGCATTGCCCCATCTAGTGGTGCTGTGGAACAGGGACAGCAGGAATGCAAAAGACCAGCAAAATCTGTCATTCCTGACAAATTTTGTGTGGTAGCAGTGCCTGGGAGCTATCAGTTTTGGAGCTGGGCTCTGACAAGAGTAAATACTGTCACAGTACATTCAGATGGAAAGGAAAGCAAAGAGTCCCAGTGCTGGTCATGCAGTTTATCACCTGCAAGGGAAGGTGAAGGCAAAGTAACATCTTTCTGTCCAGGCAATTTTTGTATAGGAATAGTCACTGGAAGTTTTCATGTTAGAAGCTATGCTTATGGTGTTTTAGGGTGTCATTGTACATTTAGTTGTCTGGGCAGCTAAATTTCCACAATTTCTGGAGCTATTTTCTGAAGTGTCCCACCAACACTGGGACTATACACCCCCCTTCCCACCCTCATACTCTCATTCTGGAGCCCAGCTCTAGAACTGTAAATGTTCAGTGGCTGCTCCCACAGTAAAGGTGACAGGACAGAGCTGTTGCTGACCTTCCACTTCCACTTGTAATCCCCCCACAGCCCTTCCCCCCCGACACCAGGCCACAGTCTGTGTGCCCCACTCTGCCCAGAGGGAATGCTTGACCCAGATATCTGGGGCTCTGCTCTGGGAAACCCGGAGTTGATCACTAAGGAAAGCTGGTCAGACTGTGTGAGTGTGGGGAGTCAGGAGGGGCACCCAGGGATCACTGGAGCCACTCTTTGTGAAGGGACCTCAGTCCCAGCAATTAAAGCATCTGGAGCTGGGAGTGTGACTGCCAGAGTGGCTGCTGGGTAGTCAGGCAGGAAAGTTTCCTAACAGTGGGAAGG